ACACACATACCACATGTTCCTCACACACACATACCACATGTTCCTCACACACACATACCACATGTTCCTCATGCACACATACCACATGTTCCTCATACACACATATCTACTTTATATCTTAGTGCACTCATACAGTGACACAAACTGTTGAACATATAGAAATTTAAAGTTTAGAAATCCAATGATAAAGCTTATAACATTACTCCATATTCCACTTCATATTGATCAAGGTCCTCTTCACTAGATTGGAACTGTTTCTTCACATTCAAGTTGCAGGCAGCCACATTGGGTGAGGTTGGTGGGGTGCCTGGGGTCAGATCATCATCAGAATGGATTAAAATATGCTGCTCCTTTAACTCAGGTTTGAGACTCTTGGTAGCTTTTTCTTTGTGTAATCCATAACCAGAAGTCTCTTCACTATAACTGCCGCTATTTGTCAAACGTGAGTCTTTAGGGTGCAGTAGAGGAGGGGTACAAGGATGAAATAGTATATTTGTACTCTTGCTTCCATAGCTGGGTACCCTTCTCTCCAGAAGGCTAGGAACAGTCTCCCCCAGATTAAATGAACTGCTCAATTTCTTATCTTCATCACATGATTCTCTGGGATTTGGACTACTCACAAGAGTGGGAGCCCCATAATATGGTCTATGGTTTGCCATCATATCTTCATCACATGATTCTCTGGGATTTGGACTACTCACAAGAGTGGGAGCCCCATAATATGGTCTATGGTTTGCCATCATATCTTCATCACATGATTCTCTGGGATTTGGACTACTCACAAGAGTGGGAGCCCCATGATATGTTCTATGGTTTGCTATCTTGGGCTCAACAAGTGAAGTATCAAAGTCATGAGATGTTGACTTCACAGGTTCACTAGTTCTGTTTGTAAATATTCTATCAATACTGGAGTTATCACCTTTGATAAAGGACGGATCTGAGTGGGACAGTCTACAAACTGTGTTATTTGCACTATCAGCCAATTTTGACCCACTGTATGTCTGCCCATCACAGCAAGTGCCATGTGAGGAGCCACCTTTGTTGGCTGTTTGTGCATCTCTGGACAGACAGACTGAATCACTGGGGATACCTTGGTAAATTGGCTTCTTTCTTTCTCCAGTGCCTGTCATTTCACACTCTGGGGGAATTATTTTGATGAGGGGAGGGTTACAACTTTGAGTCTGACTAGTGTAGTCATAATCTCCAATTTTCTGTAATGAGAGCTTGCTTTTTTGTCTGGATCTCCAGTTTAAATCTGGTGCTGACAGACATCGAGGTGTTCCTGATACTGAGCTACTGGCCAAGGTGGGCGGGCTATTGGCCAAGGTGGGCGGGCTATTGGCCAAGGCGGGTGGTCTACTAGCCAAGGTGGGTGGCCTATTGGGTGAGGTAGGCGGGCTATTGGCCAAGGTGGGTGGGCTATTGGGTTCAGAGGAAATGTCTGACAGGTGAGATGAAGAAAACATGGTAGAGAGCTGAAATACTTTCTGTACAGGATCTTTTGGAACAGGTGCCCATTTTAGAGCCAGGTTATCAGACATGGAGGTGAGATACTGTGTGTAGTCAAGCCTGCCTTTTAGGTCAGGGCGACGCCGACATTCATCTACAACCATATCATGTAAGGAGTCACCAAAAGATTCTTCTGCATTTAATTCTAGTTTCCCTTCCTGGACCAACTTTGCCTCTAACTTCCAAATTTCTGTCCTCAATTTCTGACTCTCCTGGGTCTCTTCCTCCTCCTCATCTGTCTCAGATACAATGCTATATTTCCTCAAATTTTTCACAGTCTCCGAGTTGATAGTCTTCTGCAAGTACTGCCCAAGTCCTATCTGTTCATAGCCAGGCTGGGCACTCTTGCTGGAAGACCTCTTGAAACATGGCTTTTCTTTTATTGTGGCATTCTCCTCTAGCTGAGGAGTAGACATGATAATACTGCCATGCTGGTCACTCATGCTATCCACCACACTGTGGTCTAGACTGACCCTGTGCTTTAGACATACCTCTTTTGCTGTCCTGTACCCATCTCTTATAAACCTGGCAAAGCCATAGTGACCCTGGACAAAGAAAAAAAAGGTTTGCCATTAATGTCCATTTTATATTCCTTCACTGGTAAAATATTTTTGCTCAGCACAAATTAAAAAGATAACAACTGATTTATTATAAAAATGAGTTATTAAGAATATTTTGCTATACAGCACAGCTGACAAAATGTATGAAGACCTCATAGTTTGTTTCATTGCTAAACAGCTCGTAAAAATTGATGACATGAAAAGCAGGCATATAAAAATAAAGAAGATAACATAAATATGATAATAAGTTGTAAATAAAATGCATATCTTTTTAAATTCTTTTATTAGTCAGGAATGATTATCAACCAGAAGAAAACAAACTTAATTATCACAAATGGTTGCATATAGGATCATGGATATATAAGGCTGCCTGGTTTTAAGGTAATGAACTGTGAACTGCATAGATATTTAAGGTAATGAACTGTGAACTGCATAGATATTTAAGGTAATGAACTGTGAACTGCATAGATATTTAAGGTAATGAACTGTGAACTGCATAGATATTTAAGGTAATGAACTGTGAACTGCATAGATATTTAAGGTAATGAACTGTGAACTGCATAGATATTTAAGGTAATGAACTGTGAACTGCATAGATATTTAAGGTAATGAACTGTGAACTGCATAGATATTTAAGGTAATGAACTGTGAACTGCATAGATATTTAAGGTAATGAACTGTGAACTGCATAGATATTTAAGGTAATGAACTGTGAACTGCATAGATATTTAAGGTAATGAACTGTGAACTGCATAGATATTTAAGGTAATGAACTGTGAACTGCATAGATATTTAAGGTAATGAACTGTGAACTGCATAGATATTTAAGGTAATGAACTGTGAACTGCATAGATATTTAAGGTAATGAACTGTGAACTGCATAGATATTTAAGGTAATGAACTGTGAACTGCATAGATATTTAAGGTAATGAACTGTGAACTGCATAGATATTTAAGGTAATGAACTGTGAACTGCATAGATATTTAAGGTAATGAACTGTGAACTGCATAGATATTTAAGGTAATGAACTGTGAACTGCATAGATATTTAAGGTAATGAACTGTGAACTGCATAGATATTTAAGGTAATGAACTGTGAACTGCATAGATATTTAAGGTAATGAACTGTGAACTGCATAGATATTTAAGGTAATGAACTGTGAACTGCATAGATATTTAAGGTAATGAACTGTGAACTGCATAGATATTTAAGGTAATGAACTGTGAACTGCATAGATATTTAAGGTAATGAACTGTGAACTGCATAGATATTTAAGGTAATGAACTGTGAACTGCATAGATATTTAAGGTAATGAACTGTGAACTGCATAGATATTTAAGCAAAGACATCCATTGGAATTCACATAAAAGAAAAATGAAGTAAAGACACAACAAAAATGATGTTGAGACAAATATGCAGTAAAGAACCAAGTGATGAAGTTTTTCTTAATATCAAGTATGCTGCATGGTTGTGAGGCTTGAGCCAATAATAGCACTCAAGGTGTCTTGGTGACCTTTACACAAAATATTAAGTCTCTATTTGTTGTAAATGGAACCACATAAATCATGTCTTTTAAAACTTGGACTGATAAGCACAGAGGTCTGTGTTATGCTCCTATTTCACACATACCACAAATCCCACGAATCGCCATGAATTGACAAATTTCAGGATTCATGGTTGAATCGTATTCAGTTTGTGAAGTTCTTAACAGATTCGTATATATTCGTAGTCAGTTCTTGAAATTCTTGACCAACAAGAATTCGTGGCAAAAACTTTGATGGCCCTATTTCACTCAGACCATGAATCCCACGAATCGCCAGGAATTAAATATATTTATTTTTCAAGGAGATATCAATAGCTATGATGAAATAGACAAAGTCCCGAGCATAGAAAGGGTAAAAAATGGGAACAAAAAAAATGTCAGTTATATTCAGAAACTAAAGCCATGTTCAGCATAAGTGACATATAGAATTTTCAGACAATTTTCTCTGGTGCAAACTAACCTCCAGCTTATCAACAATGGTTTTCTTGGTGAGGTCCACCAGCTCTTGGTCATCTATGGAGAAAGCAGGGAAACTGACAATACTGATCAACCCAGCATCTACTTCCTGAAATACACAGTAATATAGTAAGTTAAAGGATTTTATCCTGAAATACACATTAAATTACAAATCTTTATCCTTTTGGGTTCCAACAATATTATTGCTTCTGATGATACAAAAAATTAACACATGCAAGATTTGTTTTTCTAATTATTCATACGCATTTGTCAGCCATAATCTATTATGAAAGTCATGTCTTTTTTAGTGTAAAAAACACTGAGATACAGTTAACAATAAGTATAAAAGTGACTGATGGGAGAAAAATAATTTTTAGAAAAAATTTTATTAGTTTTCACAAAGATGTAGTCAGCCTTGGTATAATTGATCTAAATCAGTCCAATAAAAGTTATGTGTCTAATTCACATTTTGCTGTGTATTATATCTACCTTTGAATTAGATTCTCTGGGCAGCATTGACTGTAATATAGCCTGAAAACATACAAAGCAAAATATCCACTTGTTCCCAAGGTTAGCTTTGATCAGTATAAAGTATATATTAATTAGATTCTCTGGGCAGCATTGACTGTAATATAGCCTGAAAACATACAAAGCAAAATATCCACTTGTTCCCAAAGTTAGCTTTGATAAGAATAAAGTATATATTAATTAGATTCTCTGGGCAGCATTGACTGTAATATAGCCTGAAAACATACAAAGCAAAATATCCACTTGTTCCCAAGGTTAGCTTTGATAAGAATAAAGTATATATTAATTAGATTCTCTGGGCAGCATTGACTGTAATATAGCCTGAAAACATACAAAGCAAAATATCCACTTGTTCCCAAAGTTAGCTTTGATCAGTATAAAGTATATATTAATTAGTGCTTGCCTTGGGGCTAGTTGGTGAGTTCCATATTTACAACATATAACAGCATTCATTCAAGTTACTCATAAATACTCACATTATCACATGAATCACGACACTGTTTTATGAGTTCAGGTATCAGCAGTAGAAAATCTAGTCAATCTGAGACACACCTGCCTTCCTACCTGACACTGTTTTATGTATACCAGACTGTCTTCCTACCTGTCACTGTTTTATGTATACTGGACTGTCTTCCTACCTGTCACTGTTTTATGTATACTGGACTGTCTTCCTACCTGTCACTGTTTTATGTATACCGGACTGTCTTCCTACCTGTCACTGTTTTATGTATACTGTACTGTCTTCCTACCTGTCACTGTTTTATGTATACTGGACTGTCTTCCTACCTGACACTGTTTTATGTATACTGGACTGTCTTCCTACCTGACACTGTTTTATGTATACTGGACTGTCTTCCTACCTGACACTGTTTTATGTATACTGGACTGTCTTCCTACCTGACACTGTTTTATGTATACTGGACTGTCTTCCTACCTGACACTGTTTTATGTATACTGGACTGTCTTCCTACCTGACACTGTTGAGACTCATCAGCCAGGACATGGATCACTGACTCTGGACCTCCGCGGGCACCAAACAAGTCCAGCTCATTAATGGCCTCCAGTGCGGCCTAAAGAGAAGAGGAACATAATATACATAAATTGACTCAGACTTCAATAACACAACAAAACAAAAAAAAAAGTTGATCATTTCAAAGAGATGCTTTCATTTATCAAATACCAAAATATAATGAGAAACAAGATTTACAGGACTGATAAAACAAGGCAACACCTTCAACCAATGTGAAAACAGCCAATACTGGAAATATCTGTTCAATAAAGTCAGAATAATGTTATCAGTTTCAGAGCTATGCTAACATCTACCTACCTTTGCCATGCCAATAGAGGATGAGTTCAGTTCTGGCAGACCATGGTTGGTTTTGTCTCCTCTTTCCCATATTCCATAATCCTAAATTGACAAAATCATGCTTTGTTATAAATTCAATTTCCTCTCAATAGGCTTCTCTTCTTCCTACTCCTACAAAGACATATCTTGGTTTTCTTTGAATTCTACATCGTGGGTTTTTATTCTAATTTGCAGCACATGCACTGTTTTTTATTACTATTCTATGTAAACTTCCTTGAAACCTGGTGCAGTTTAAAAATCAAGTTTGCTACCAAATCATAATAAAGGATACAAAGAATGAACTGCAGCACACTTTGTGATGCAACTATGTTTTCCTCAGCTAACTTTTAGCTGATTTACTTCACTTACTGGTATTCTGTAAGCAGCTTCAATATAAAATACCAGATTCTGAACAAAGGCCACTTCATCTAATGTAAATATCAGCTGTAGACCTAAAAACAAACATGGAACTTGGAACACTTCAATTTTAACATGAAAATTGTAAAAAAAAAAAAATGTAATGCATTTTTCATGAGCAATATATAGTCTTCTCATAACAATAACATATAAAAACAATTTCTTAAAGCAAATAATCAATAAATACATTTAAGCTTCACTTCTCACCTTGGAGCTGGTGAGAGCAAATAAGTTATTTATTTGGGGCATTCCATTTCCTCTTTTGTAACATCTTTTCCCCTTCATAACTCCTTCTTCTCCACATAAGATCAATTACATAAAACTTATACATCAGTTTATTGCCATTAAAAATTAAGATTGCACCTCACCTTAATGTTTACTAGAGAAGTACAAAGGGTATTAATATTTGGGGGGATATATACTATGAACTGGAGAAGACAAATGAATATTTGGAGCGATATATATACTGTGAACTCCCTGTAGCTTTAAAACAAGGTGTTACAGTATCAACATGTTGTAGTGTGTTCTGACCTGAGGCAGTCATCTCTGCCAGACACAGTAAATACAAAGATGTGGCATCAATCTGCAGGTGCCCCCACTGCCCATCCCCCACACATGTAGCTCCAGTACACGCATCATATTTAGCATGTAATGCATCCCTGGGATTTTGAGTCTTCTTAAATGTTTCCAACTTGTCCACTTGCTTCATCATGCAGCTGAGGAGACCGCGCATCAATTTCACAACACTCTATAAGATAATTAGTGTATATAAAGGCCTTACAATTAGTGTTGGTAAATATTATATTATACCATCAAAATAAAATACCTAATAAAAATTGCAGCAAATTTCATATATCTTTGAAAAGCATCAAACTGGACAAAAGTGAAATAAAAAGATTTTGAATAAAACAAAATCATGGTAAACGTTTTGCTGAGACTGTGCAGTCCTTACCTGTTCCAGTTCATATGCTTTAGCTCTGTCTTCATCCATGTTGGCTTGCTTCTTATACGCCAATGCCAGGCCCCAGACACAGAGAATGGAGTAGAGATTGTCGCGTACCCAGGCATGATTCGAGTTATTTCCAGGAAGGAGACCTGTCACTGGATTCTGAAATTTATAACAATCAAGGTCCTTTATTCAGGGCCCAAGGGCATGATTAGAATTATTCCAAGGAAGAAGACCTTTCACAAGACCAATGACCCTTTCGGATCAATGACCGTTCAGACCACTGAACCATAGGTTTAACCACACACAGCCAATAGATATCAGGACAATTTCCACCTGATGATACCCACACCCATTCCAACAGAATATATATTTATATTCAAAAATAAAGCATAGAGTAAAAAGTTCAAATCTTTCTTCTACTGTATGACTTTTTAGTGTGATGATGCACCTCAACAGTAAATTTCATTAAACAATTCATTTTCATGGAGTACAAGTACAGAAAATTTCAGAAATAGAAGTACAAAAAAATTTATGAAAAATCTAATCAAAGTATATCTCCAGGTAAAGTGGGGTAAACAAATGATCTCGCACTTCCAGATAATCCTTTGATGAATTAAATGTTACTATACTTTTAATTGCTTCAGTATTTCTGCCCTTGATTAAGTAAGTCTTGCATCAAGGTGCATCTCTGGGGAGAGGTGGGGTAAACAGATTTTCTCACTTAAATACAGGTATCCCTTTCTTATCTGCCAGTATTAATTCCTTGACTACGGTAATATGCCAAATGATTTGACCAAGATTAATTAATTAATTTCATAGAAATATCATTTTGATCAAATTGATTAAAATATAGCAATGTAAACCATTGATATCGTTGGATTGTTTGGGGCATCTGCCAAAACGTCCATCTTACCGGAAGTATTGCATTCTACCCAAAGTGTCACGCAAGATAAGCCGCAATTTTTTCGCTTAACACGTGTTTCAAGCACGTTTTATCCTCCTTTTGAATTCTTATTTTGCTGTGTACAATATGTCCTAACATTACTTGAGATTCAAACAGACGACAATTCACAATTTCTATTTAATTCCCTCACCTACGATCATTTTCATGACGCGCTTCAAAAGTGGGACGCTTTTTTCCCCCGGAGACAAGTGTTGTAAACAATGCCCGGTCACTTATATTTGAAACCGGTAGCTTTAGTGGACTTAAACCTGTTATGTGATCTATGTACACCCTATCTGGAATTTTAATATGTCAACTAAAATCAAGCTAATTGAGATTTTTTTTTTACCAGTCTGAGATCAGTTGTTTTCAACTCAAAAAGCTTGCTCGGCATTGAGGCGTAGACGCATGTATTTCTGAAGAAAATTCAATCACCCATATCAAAGAATACCAACTGGTACTCAAATGGAATTTAGTGTAACTTAAAATTACTTTTAAGTATTTAATTTAAAAATCATGTCATATTAAAACATATTGAGAAAAGGCAATCTACGGAGCCTACCTGTGCCGATAGACATATCTTGCTAGCACTCTTCCGATTTTCTTACATATAGGGGCCTTTACACTCACTGTGCACAAGCCATGTTGCATATTGAAAACCCCACTGAGTGATAAAACCCGAATGTAAAATAAGCATTTCATTGCCATAATTTTTACAAAACAGATACATTTATAATTTGCTGTGAGAATTGAGCAAATGCAGAAATGAGAGACTTGTCTTACTTGGTCTGCTCCTGCATACTTAGTGCAAACCACATGTTAATGAAGTCAGTCCCAATGTGGGGGAGGGGGGTCACAGGAATGGAGTTCTTCATGGATTACACTAATTAATATAAACGTTTCATGCATCTGGGGAAATAAAAAGTGACTCACAGGTAACGTAAATACCCAGTGGGACTCTCTGTGAAGCTCCACTTTTCACTGCCATATAAGTTATTGTATTCTCTTATAAGATGATAAGAAAGATGTCATTTTTATTGTTGACAAATCAGTTATCCATGTAGGTAAATAGCTACACGTGTTCATCAGATTTTGACAGCACATGGTATTTGGCACCAAGAAGTCTGGGTGGACAATCCCGCTGTTCTTTTGGTCAACTGTAGTAAATGTAGGATCTTGTGGTATTGTATGTGGTATTGAACGTTTCCCCATAATCATATGCATATATATTTCAATCAAACTTGAAAATAAATTGCTTATTCTTCCCAAACTTTTTATTGCTAGCAAATGCTATGTATGGTCTATATGAAGGTGTTTACGACATATCCTACCCACTGTCGATATTTGGTTTCATCCTGAACAGACCTTTTTTAAAATGCCCCCACCCCCAGTTACGGTGTGACGAATCAGTCAGCGAGGGCAAGTCTGCTAAATTAGCACAAATTGTATATCTATAAGCACTATTATTGTCATCGGGGACAAAGGAAATGACAGGTACATCTCGCTTCTAGATTAGATCTTCAATTAATTGTTTCTTCCTTATTGACGAAGAGCTATTGAAAGGACAACAATTGACAAAGGGCTGAGGCATGCAGCATCTATTTCACTGGCTTGAAAGTTTGCAGAGTCTAGCCGACGATGTGGTCAAACAATTGGAACAAGAAAAAAAATTCTGTCACATGATTTTGACATTTGGACTAAATGTCTGAGCCCAGAAAAATTAATTTTATGATATAATTTTTTTGGACAGATTGATTGGACCAGTCGAAATGCTTGGCACATTACCGTACCATCCACCTACCCAATACACTGAATATAGTCATAAAATGTTTACCTGTTCATCTGTTTACCCCACCTTTACCTGGAGAATAGGTGGTTATACTTTGATTAGATATTTAATAATACTTTCTCAACTTGTACTGAATGAAAAAGGAATTTGTTATAGAATAATTTGTTTGGTATTATCACAATTAAAATATAAATAAAATGGATTAAATGTTTTGAACTTTATACTCCTTACTTTATATAAAATCATATTCTTTTGGGGGGAATTGCCCGGGGGGGGGGGGGGGAATTGTCCTAGAATCAACCAATATTATCATGTATCAGGAGAGGGGGAGGAAGGGAGTGCAAGTGTGTATATCTTTCTCAGGATAATCCAGGACACAAAAATACTAAAGAAAAATCAACAATTCTAGATTGTAAAACAAGCAAGTCTGTTAATTTTTTCACCAAATGCTAGAAATTTTCTTTCTCTGAAACTAAATTCAAGTTTGTGGAGGAGGCCAAACTCAAAGTCTCGGTTTTAATACTCCCAAGTTTTATTCCAGATGTCTTACCTGAAACTGCAATACAGTCTTGTTTACTATCCTCTGATAGAGATCAAGGCGAACACCTGAATTACTCCGGTTCCTCATATTTTGTTTACTGGATGCATCATAAATAAATGTAGAAAAGACAAATTATCCTACATGTAACTGCCAAGACTGGTATAACTGGTTCATTATTTCCAAGAACGTAGAGCAGAACATTTTTATTTTTAACACAAATTTTTGTTTGTTAAGAATAAAAATTAATTTAGAAATAAAAATAATGGGGTATTTAAAAAGGAGGGCTGTCATGATAATAAATTACACTAAATGTAAATTTTATGCTCACAATATACGTACGTGATCGTGCAAATAGCCGCTACCACACTGAATTTTTTTCATCAAAATTTTCCTTTTAAGTCATCATATCTCCCAAGTCTGTCTTCCGAACTTCAAATAATTAATTTGTTCTCCATTTTGAATAAAAATTGAACGAAGTTTAATCTTATTTAACAGGTAACAGCATAATTCTCGTCTGATGCGCACCTTGTCTTGCGGCTAGTACATAGCTTGGCAGAAACATGACCTTATCAAGATGCAGAGTTGGACTTCGTCTAAAGAAAAACATTGTATTGTACTATACTTAAGGAATAATGTCATACGTTATAATTATACAATATTCTATATCTTTAAACAAATGCATTTTGTCAAAAAAATTATAATCCATTGATCTTTTGATATCTAAAGGAATATATATTTTTACGAAACTAACATATGACCTCTAAACAACCTTCAACTGGCTCTTTCCATCTGGACCTGCCTGGCAGCCATATTTGGCCTCCATTTTGCCAACAGACTGAGCGTACTAACCGATAAAAATGCGGTTGACCCGATGTGAGTAGATATTATTCCCAACTAAGAGCAATGTTTAGTAATGCAGAGTTTTTTTCCATAGAGCAGCTGATATTGTTAGGCTCGACCAGAGCTTGACACTAAGTGTAGAGTAATAAACACTTGGTAAAACACGTCGTAGTCAACGAAGGGGGGGGGTCATTAAATACAAAAATGACACAAAAAGGCACCTCAATGTTGTTTTAAACATCAAAATAACTTGCTGTTTGGATTCTGCATCCAAATTACGTTTAGGTTGAACCCAATGAATGTTTATTTATCTGTAACNTCGCATTGTCCAATGGCATGGCTTCTTTTTCGTAATGGTAGGTTAGAGAGGACCAATTCAAACATCAGAGGTGGAATTTGGATATACGGTTTGATTGTGCGTATGCCATGCACGGAATTTACAAACGAGCGACGGGATGATGTAGCCTGCAGTATTAGCGGTAAGCGTGCCAAGTTTTAGGCCGCTCCGATGCCCGGCAGTATTTTATTTCGATTATTATGTTGGAACTGGATTTTTCTTGTTTCAGAAGCTTACTCTATTTTATTGTCTCTATGGAGGTATATGGGGACTTTACGACATTCGGTTTGAAGGCTTTAACCACTTGTTATAGTTTATTTTTGCATTGTATTGGATTAATGTGGCAGTCTGAGGTTGTCCTAGGTGGTTTTTAAGTTCATGTACCCGATTTTAATATCATTTAGCGATTTTACGACAATCGTTTACTATCCAATCAAGGTGACAGCCGAGCGTGGTCATTTCAGTATTTAGTGACACTGATAGTCAACCGACTATCAACTGTGACTTAAAGTGCTTAGTAACTGCCACCCCTATCTCTCAGTTGAGCAAATACTCCAAATTGTGGCTTTCTCTTGGGGCTCACATGATCAAGCTGTCTACTCTGATGTAACTCCCGTTTCTACCAGCCTCTCAAATTGGTAAGAGACTACTGTGGCCAGAGAGTCACTTTTATGCTTGTTTGAACCCAGCTGTAGTCTTTAAACCCTAAAGTGCACTTTACTTTTATTGTTCATTAGGCTTGCTTGGGAAGAAAGTCACTCCCATCAAGATCAAGGGACTGGTAGAGTATACTATATCTCCCCATGAGTTCCAACCCTTCCGTCCCTCATATTATGCAGAGGCCTTCAAGAACACACAAAGACGGATGTTCTCGCATGTGTTGTATTTTATAAGTAAGTAATTGAATAATTTAGCAAAGATTTTTTACAGGAAAGACTGGGTCTCATTATCTGATCAAACCTAAAGAGTAACTTTATTTTACCTCTTTGTGTAGAATGTGTTTCTACAATTTTTCTATCAGATTTAACTGAGCAGATAGATAAACTTGGTTGGTAATACAACATACTTTTATGAAAAATTTCCAAGTTTTATCTGGTTATCTGTTATAAATATTATATTTTTCTCTTTTTCAATTTCAGTTCCTGCATACATTCTGTTCCATATAAGGTACGAAGATATTCAAAGAAGACTTCATTATTACGACTCCAAGGAATTTTACTTTGACAATTTAGTAGAAGAGGATTAGATTATATCTCTCCAGACCTACTAGGATCTCTTTGTTAAGGAGGACAGATATTGTAACAGAAATCTTTGACAAAGGTCAACCATTTCACATAAAACATTAATGAATATGATTCTGGCTTCATTTATGTGAATAATGTCATATGAATAGTATGTGGTTTGAACTGCATTGTATACCACTTCTGCACACAGTTTGAGTTCATGTAGACTTGAGAAAATACACATTTTCTTTCTATTCTGTTTCATTATATCCAGTAAAATACAAGTGCACCTTTCTTTCTGGTGTTTGTGTTACACAACCCACTATGTAATAATGAAATAAAGTTCATGTGTTGTTCAGTACTTGTTTTGATATTAGTGAACTGTTGATCTGGGCCCAGTTTCATAAAGGACGTTTAGCACTAACCAGTGTTTAAGTCTTACCAGTGGATAAATTCTCCTAACACCCGTTAACTAAACGATGGTTGAAATTGTGTTTCATAAACAGAGTGTGTATACTGTAACAGCCAATTAGTTAACTGACCTTTAAATATTTTATCCAGTTAAACTGTGACCAGTTAACTAATCTGGTTGCTCTATGTTATTTATTTTACTTCTTCCTTCCTCCAGTATGCAGTTGTAATGTATACAATCCTTAGCACAGGTAATCTAAACCAACACGTTTATTTACCTTGATCAACTGATTGGACTTAAATACAGGTCAAGGATATTTCAGCTTGTTGAATCCTCCTCAGTGCAGTTTTNTTATATCTCTCCAGACCTACTAGGATTTCTTTGTTAAGGAGGACAGATATTGTAACAGAAATCTTTGACAAAGGTCAACCATTTCACATAAAACATTAATGAATATGATTCTGGCTTCATTTATGTGAATAATGTCATATGAATAGTATGTGGTTTGAACTGCATTGTATACCACTTCTGCACACAGTTTGAGTTCATGTAGACTTGAGAAAATACACATTTTCTTTCTATTCTGTTTCATTATATCCAGTATAACAAGTGCACCTTTCTTTCTGGTGTTTGTGTTACACAACCCACTATGTAATAATGAAATAAAGTTCATGTGTTGTTCAGTACTTGTTTTGATATTAGTGAACTGTTGATCTGGGCCCAGTTTCATAAAGGACGTTTAGCACTAACCAGTGTTTAAGTCTTACCAGTGGATAAATTCTCCTAAAACCCGTTAACTAAACGATGGTTGAAATTGTGTTTCATAAACGGTGTTTATACTGTAACAGCCAATTAGTTAACTGACCTTTAAATATTTTATCCAGTTAAACTGTGGCCAGTTAACTAATCTGGTTGCTCTATGTTATTAATTTTACTTCTTCCTTCCTCCAGTATGCAGTTGTAATGTATACAATCCTTAGCACAGGTAATCTAAACCAACACGTTTATTTACCTTGATCAACTGATTGGACTTAAATACAGGTCAAGGATATTTCAGCTTGTTGAATCCTCCTCAGTGCATTTTTTTTTTGGAAACACTGTATACTACATGTATTTTTCTCAGAATCATAGTAAGGTGCAACTTAGACTGTCATCTAACCCTGAGAAATTGTATAGTGGCACAGAAAAAAAAACAGCTGCCTTGAATAATTATTTTATTTTATGCAGCATATACAGTAGCTTTCTGTAAACAAGATATTTGACAGTGCTTGGCCTATTATTTCTTATAATTTAAACAGTTCTGTTTCTGATAATAATATTCTCAAATCTTTGACCCCCTTTAGTAAATGTAGAATTCACTGTCTTGTGGCAAAAGATTGACTTGCTAATAATTTTGTGTGAGGTAATATACTGTCACCATATGTGTGTGTGTGTGTGTCACAGGCCCAGTCCTAATCCAGGCATATTCTAAATCCACTAATCCCAATATGGCATAATGCATTAATTGTTAAAAGCAGCACAACTTCATATATTAACTAATTTACAGGTAAGAAGACGGTCACCAGTAGTTTGAAGTTTCACTTGTAAGTAGATTTAAAAAAACATTTTAATATGGGGAAATTATCATATAATGTAACAAGGTCACCAGTCCCAATTCAGACAGATTCATTTACAATTGAGCACAATTTGCACTTTTAAAAGCAGAATTTAAGAAGTAAGGTGCATGAAATTAATTAACAGGTTAGAGATTAATTTACAGATAGAGTCCAGTTTGTGTTCCTGTTCTTTGCAGTGGTATACATGTAGATACAAAGCAGACTTGATTTTGCTAAAAGTATAAATGGAATATTCCATTTCATCTGCTTTCTTTGATCAAGTTATATGGCAATCAGGCCTTACAAGTGAAACTCCAAACTACTGGTGACCGTCTTTTTACCTGTAAATTAATTAATATATGAAGTTGTGCTGCTTTAAACAATCAATGCATTATGTCAAATTGGGATTAGTGGATTTAGAATATGCCTGGTTTAGGACTGTATTGAATGATAGTATTATCTGACATAATGCATACTAAGAGAAAGTACTCGCATTTCACTGACCACCCCTCCTCCCCCATCCCCCCCCCCCCCAAAAAAAAAAAAAAAAAGGAATAAGCCATATAGCGCCACTGTAGTCATGGGAAAATATCCAGGTAACTATTAAAGCTATGACACGTGATCAGACATTTGATTGCCTCAGCATATTGAGTATGACATTAGATTTTCATGTTGACCTATGAACTTTGGCATTCAATATTGAAATTCTCAATAATGGATTCCTTTTACTCAAAGGAATGATGAATTCACAAATAAGGCACGTGGTATAACTGACTGGTCACCATGCGATTTACGTCACCTTACGTGGAACACATTTAATTTTACCATACAGTTTGTACAAAACTAGAACATAACTAGGGAAAGCAGACTTGCGCCAGGACAGCCCAGGATTAAACCGGCATGAAACACACTGCGAAAAAAGTAAATGTTTTACGCTACTGCCAAAGTTACTCATTCTTGATGGTCATCTCCAGGCTCTCCACAGTGTCCTGACAGTGGCTATTGGTTGGACAGTTATCATAGCCACCGTCATCGCTTCCGTAACTTTTTTTAGCTATTATCTTCGTTCCTTCGTCCATCTTACTGAAGCCTGTCTCATGGAGCTCCTCATTTGTTGTCGTTTGCCGTGAAATGTTGGTACGCCATATGATCAGAGCTAACAGGATGGCAAGAGCCACCACTGAAAACATGGTGGAGATCAATATCTCTTGCCAATGCGTTCTTGGCGAAATGTCGACGTACCTGTTAGCACTGAGATCTGAAAAACAAACAGAAGAAGACGACGGAAGTAATGAATGTGTGAGAGGCACATTAAATCAGAAAATGAATGATCTAACACGAACATTTCTAACGATGAAAACAACAGTAAAATTATATAAATAGCAATAGTGAATAAATAAATAAATAAATAAAGTTATATACTTCGTGCCGATCGATAATACTGTGTACAAAATGTAGATAAGTCACCCAGTAAATACATGAAATTCTAATCTAGTACTGGACTTTCCATAATATTTGATCCTATTGAGAATGTTGCTTCCTCCTCAGCTACTGTCTCCGTGAGACAGTTACAATGTTGATGACTTATTTTAAATTATAAGGTCTGTAGTGCATCTCAAACTAGTTACTCTTCACCAGTATGCAGAATAAAAGGTCTTTACTGAAAATATCATTTATTCAGGATATTGAGTTTTTGAGTCGATTTACATTGTAGGTCTATGGCTTCAACATGCCCCATTTGACACATTTAAATCAATTTGTAAAAAAAGGAAAAAATGAAGAAATAAAAAAAAAAAAATACCCGCACAGAAACAGGAGGAATTGGGTGTCTAAATGGAGTATGTTTGTGATTTTATATAATCAGTAAACACTTAGATATGCCACCAGGTTTGAAACATTTTAACAAGACTGCTTACATAAAAACAAACCGTTGACCTAAGATAAGAATGGATATGGTCAAACTGATATTGTGTATAAAAGAAATGAGTATTGAAAAGGTTCGTTTCATGAAGTAAGTCGCTTCTTATTCTCTAATGCCAACAGATTGGATATCAACCGAATTATCCGCAAGATGTAGACCTTAAGCAGTACTGCAGACAATGCTTTGGTAGTGTTGACATTTACTATCGCTATAAGAGACCTGTAAGACAACGATTCTGCCACCTTAACCTTTTTTTCATACAACACAACGCCCAACAGGCTATTCTATAGAAATATGTTGTCGGATATCGCATGACGATAGTTATTTTCACTGTAGGTTACTTACAAAGATGAAAGTACAATTTCGTTAATTTTTTTCACTTACTAGCAGATGTGAAGTCCATATCCTGTGATTGGAAATTACCCGGAGTATTAGGGCTTGTCACGTCCGGCTGGTTTTCAGCGCAGTTGTCCGTGAGATTATCGTGCACACATCCTGAATTGGTAAAAATAAATAAATAAATAAAAAAGTATCACAATCCCAGAGAGGATTTACGCATGGAAATGACGTCTTTGCTACACTTGGCTCTAGAAAGTAGGTTATTACACTAAATGGCAGAAATAACTAAGGTGCTCGCGCGCGGATTAACTACGGTGACACAAAACGCTGGTCAAGAGGCATATGACATAAAACTTGAATACATTTATATTAAATTACATATAGTTATTGTTTCAGTTTGTCTTTTTTACTTTTTATTACTTATTAGTTTACTTCTAATTNAAAAAAAAAATACCCGCACAGAAACAGGAGGAATTGGGTGTCTAAATGGAGTATGTTTGTGATTTTATATAATCAGTAAACACTTAGATATGCCACCAGGTTTGAAACATTTTAACAAGACTGCTTACATAAAAACAAACCGTTGACCTAAGATAAGAATGGATATGGTCAAACTGATATTGTGTATAAAAGAAATGAGTATTGAAAATGTTCGTTTCATGAAGTAAGTCGCTTCTTATTCTCTAATGCCAACAGATTGGATATCAACCGAATTATCTGCAAGATGTAGACCTTAAGCAGTACTGCAGACAATGCTTTGGTAGTGTTGACATTTACTATCGCTATAAGAGACCTGTAAGACAACGATTCTGCCACCTTAACCTTTTTTCATACAACACAACGCCCAACAGGCTATTCTATAGAAATATGTTGTCGGATATCGCATGATGATAGTTATATTCACTGTAGGTTACTTACAAAGATGAAAGTACAATTTCGTTAATTTTTTTCACTTACTAGCAGATGTGAAGTCCATATCCTGTGACTGGAAATTACCCGGAGTATTAGGGCTTGTCACGTCCGGCTGGTTTTCAGCGCAGTTGTCCGTGAGATTATCGTGCACACATCCTGAATTGGTAAAAATAAATAAATAAATAAATAAAGTATCACAATCCCAGAGAGGATTTACGCATGGAAATGACGTCTTTGCTACACTTGGCTCTAGAAAGTAGGTTATTACACTAAATGGCAGAAATAACTAAGGTGCTCGCGCGCGGATTAACTACGGTGACACAAAACGCTGGTCAAGAGGCATATGACATAAAACTTGAATAAATTTATATTAAATTCAAATAAATCTCAAACCTTTTCTGCAGTCGCTGTCCTGTAACCCCTGGTTAGCTGTACAGTTCAAGCGATCTCCCTGCTTGACACCACACGCTTTACAGTCGCCACAAAACTTGATTTCTGTGTGGGTAAATATGGCGCCACAGTGCCCACAATCTGTACAGTTTGAACAGATGAAGTACAGATCAGATCCGTGCTGATATTCTTTAGGGAAATTTAGAAGTAGTGTCAAATTGCCGGATTTGTCGCACGGATGGTTAATGGTGTAGGTGGTGTTAATCAGCGAATTGGAGGCTTTTCCAGTGGCAAAGTGACTAATGGCGCCGAGGGCAGAGGCGTGACAACAGCTGCAGGCCCATTCTAGATACACCGTCAACAGGTAATACATGTATACCTGGAGACAGAAAGGTTTTATATTAAATCTCTGGTCTACATTTTACAGTATTGAAATGTCTGATTTACACAACAAATAAAAACCGGAATGTCTCCGACTAAACCCGTTGAATAAGAAACGAAAGATTAATTGCAAACCCGTGTTTTTAAGCCAAACGTCAAATGTAGTTATTAAATGAAAAGTATGCATGCCCTGTTGCTTCTTCGTGTCTCACATAATGTAAAAATTGACTACTGCAATTTAAACATTGGTTTCTTATCACCCACTTACATGCATGTGTACGGCAGATATCTTAGAGAAATATGGTTTTATATTTTGTCTGCATGTCTTTTCAAACGTGAACTTTGACGGACAGGTCAACATCTTGTTGCACTGCATATAGGGACGTTTGTTTTATTTCTTTACAATCTGCTTATAAAAAATAATGCTTTTGCAGAATTAGTCAGTATAAAAAGCATGAAATCGTTTCATTCAAGGACATCCCATGTGACAGGATGTTATAACATCACGTCTTCAATTGACGCTTTTACAACTGTGATGAAGTTATTGGCTTGTCTTCTTCATGTTACGCGAGGTAGCAAATACAACTCAGATATTATCTTTCTTATTATTTATTGAACTACTGTCCAGTTATTACCCGCGCCGCTTCCTTCATTTCTATTTCTACCTCATGCAATCTCTAGCGGCCTTCTCCCTGTTTACACTAAGCGCAGTTGTATAAATACCATAAGAGCATGTCAATCAACTCAAGTTACTCTACTAAACACTCCCCGCTCTTATTCACTGCATGTTGTCACTAACTAACATTACACAACTGACGTAAAAATTTCAAAGGTTACTCACATAGCTAATAAACATGATATTCATCTGGTCAATGATATTGATTTAGACAATGCTGTTTTTGCAGTCAGACCCGGCCAATTATATTCATTCAGTCAAACGAAACGAAGAAAATGTGTTTCCGCTATCTTTGTGATTTAGTGTCTGTACAAGTTACAACCATCTCTTAATTTGTATTTTTCCTTTAGGGTAGCTACCAGTAAAGAATTAAGTACATAACGGCGAGCAAAAGTACTGGGGAATTAATTTCAGTCCATAAAGAAAACAAAAAGTATTTTTTCACATTTCTTGCATTAATGACAATATGATTCAACACGAAACCGATGTAATCATGCCAACCGTAAAGTGTTTGATGGAAGGATGTGGACATCGAGCTCTTACCAAGTTATAATACAAAGATTAACTCCCGGAAATCCAATAATCGAAAGTTTGAAATGCCTAAATGAATTAAGTTGGGCTGACTATGAGCAAATGTTCGTCAGTGGAACAACAAATCTTTTGTACATGTCGGTATGGATGTTGCAGGTAGATGCATCTCAGGTGAACATGTGTACCTGAATGAACACTTCAATACGTATTTCAAGGTGAAGTAAAAGGGGAGCCACGTGAGGGAGTCTTGGACCCCATTCCCAACTAGACGGACATTTAAGCCGGATTATCTGACAGTAATCTAGTGAGACTCCCAACAGTGATAGATCGATCTAAAATCTACGGGAATGCGCCCTTGGAGTAAGAGGTAAACCAACCTATTCCAGTCCTCCTCACCCACTGTCCTGGAGCCAGAAATAAACCAACCTATTCCAGTCCTCCTCACCCACTGTCCTGGAGCCAGAAATAAACCAAC